CCAGGCTCATTTCTACTGTCCCGGACACCACTGGACCCTGGAGGGCTGCACCTCAGATGCACATGTTGAGGGCGTGCAGCTCATTTCCACTGTGCATGGATGTGCATTTGCAGGCTGTGGATGTACTCTGCCACAGGACCTGTGGGGGTCTTGACCACAGATAGGCCCTGCTGCTGATAGGATACTTGTTCAGTCCAAGATAGGTGCTGCAAGCTCCCAGCTGAAAGCAGGGGCAGGAACCTGTCCACTGGGGACACCGTCATGATCAGCTAAGAAACCCCAGGGTTCCTTTCCCTTTCAGGGAGCTCAAGAGGGAATGTGGGGGCACTGCATTTCTGTTGGTGTTGAGGGAGAGTCAGTGCTCCAAGGCCCCTCACTGTCCCATCTTGGGGACAGAGGAAGCTGAGGAATGAGCAGAGACTTTTGGGACTGCAGGCTCTGCCAGTCCCCACATGACCTCTGGCAAGGTGCTGAACTTTTTGACTCAATTTATCTATACAGTAGGAATGGTAATCTCTACCTCACAGGACAGGAAAGTGGTATCAATGAAGTTCAAGAGCTGTGTAAAGCAGTGGGCAGATAACCAATGGCTAACGTCATTAGTTAAGGTGGAGGGAGGGAGCCAGGTATGGCCTTCACATGCTCTACCCTCTCTCCTCTCTGGGCTCAATTCTTTGCCAGTCACACCTTTCTCTCCTAGCCCTGGCTTCCCATCAGATTACTGGGAGCCACCTGACAGCACACTGCCTGTATCTGCTGTTTATTAATTCTCCTGTCCACCCCATGGCTACATGCATCTATCCTGTACATTACTGAGCCCACATCTCATCTACTACAGAGTAGATGGTAATAAGAATTTCCCTGAAAGAAGACATGAGTGGAAGGAGGGAGGGATGGATGGAAGGAGGGGTGGATGGAGGGAGAGATGGATGGAGGGAGGGATGGTGGAGGGAAGGACAGATGGATCAGTGGTTGCCTTTGTGGCACAAAGAAACACAGGCTTTTTCAAGTCCTGGTCAGTAGCTAGCACCAGTCACCTTCAGATAGTCTCCTCCATAGCCTCACAGTACCCATAACCTCTGCCTTGGTCACCCTGCCATTCAGTACCCTGGGATTGGGACTGGACCTCCTCTGTGCCAGCCTGTATCCTAGCCACACATAACTTCCTAGGATGGGTCCTCCCATTTTACAGATGAGGAAACTTGTTCTGAAAAAAAAAAAAAAACAAACAAAACACAACAAAACAAAACTAAGAGGCCTCCTCCCACAGAGGATAGAAAGGGACAACTGTTCATCCCTACTCCTCAGCCCCAATGTGGCCTCAGGCAGGAGTGTCCTGGTATAACCAACAGACTTGTTTGTTACCCACCGTGCTAAGATGGTGCCAGGCCGCCTCCACTGTTCTTCACAATTAAGGAAATGAAACTAAGACAAGGGACTTGCTGGTGGAGGTGAAGACCAACGAAACCCAATATAGGGCTCCCAGGTATGCAGTCACTGTGGAGCTGATCTGGAAAACATCCAAAGCTGAAGGGACCTCCCTGAAAAGGACCAGGCAGCAACAGAGACCCCCACCGCTCGGGCTGGCCCATGTGTGTGGCCTTCTGTCAGATCCTACACTGCCCCTGTGTTCTGGAACCTGTGACCTTGGTCCCTCGCCAGGGTATGCTAAGGCAACTCTGTCTTCTCAGCCCTGCCTGAGCCCCAGGCCTGCCATTTCTGGCCCCCTGAAGACCCTGGGTGGGTGTCAGGACCACCCTTCCTGCTCAGATGCCCTAGCTACTGAGGACCTTTCTCCTCCCAGCTGATCAGCAGGCCTCTCTTCCTCCAACCCCTGACAACCTTGAGTTTAGAGGCTCAAAACCACAGCAGAGTTAGCATAGAGCAGCAACGCTGGAGGAATTCTCTCCGGACCAAGTGGCGATTCAGTGGACTCTGGAACATATCTGGGCCTCATCTGTAGGTCAGAGGGAGGGCAGCTCAGAGAGTGTTGGCATCCATGCAGCCGCATGAATGCTGGTGTCTTGCTCATGCTGGTCACCATCTCAGAGTGATCACAGATGCACTGTCCTAGTCTAAATTTTGAGTTCTGTGGCCAATGCATTTTTTAAAGGAAAAGAACCTTCTTTGGGGATGCACTCAGCCAGGCCCTCCTACTGACCCTTGTCCAGACTCTGGGAAGTTGTCAGCTGAGCGATCTCACTTCTCCCCATGTGCCCTGTCCAGTATCTTCCCCTACCAGCGGTGGTCTGCTGAGTGCAGTCTCCACCCACCTCTTGCTTGTGCACCTGGGCGCCATCAGGCTCGCTGTCACACTCCGGGCTTCTGGCCATTGCCGAACACATACCAGCAGTTGGGTTCCGTTGACCACTCTGAAGAAAGCAGAGTTGGAGAAAGGCTGCCCTTGGGATGTGGCAGGACAGGAGAACGCAGGGCTACCCTCGGAGAGGAAGTACCCTCATCAGCCCGAGCCACCTTTTAAATTCCGAATTCCTTAAAGCGCTTGGTTCCTTTCCTCTCTGATGGTTGTTCACGTCCATCTATCTCTGGCCGCCCACTCCGATCCTTTGGGGTTGCGGGAGGACGGAGGATACCAGAACGCGGGATCAGGAAGACGCCTTTATGGTTGCAGAGCACGTCCTAGTGGCCTCTGCCTGCGCGGGGACCCCCGGCCACAGCGTGAGCGGGGCGCGCGGGAGAACTCTCTTCACCCGCTCTGTGTGGCGTCCACTGCCCTTGGGAACACGAGCGCGGAGGGGGCGTTTCTGCGCAGAGGAGCTGGGCGGAGGCAGAAGCGAAGGCGGGGCGGCTGCGCAACCGCCGGAGTCTCGAACCAGGAGCGCGCCTCAGGTTGCGCGGGGACGGCCGGGGGTCGGGGCGCCTAGGGACTAGAGGCGGGGCACTGGATTGTAGCGGGAGCCTCCAGCCGGCAATACTCACTCGCAAGAGTGGGGGCGAAGGGCTGTGGTGGAGGTTGGGGGAGGCACGGGCCCCGACTCCGCGAGGCCGGGGAGAGGGAGCGCGGCGCTGCCAGAGTGTTCAGCAGGGGGCGCTGCTCCGGTCGTCGGAGGAGGTGGGGTGAGGTGGGGGGGGGCGCGGATCGCTGCGCACACTTCCCCCATTATTAAGCACTATGTTCAAAGGGCGCCGGGGGAGTTCCCTGAGCCACGGAGCCCGCGCCGCCCGCCCGCCCGGCCCGCGGACCCCATGGACCTGAGCGCCGCCACCGCGCTGTGCCTCTGGCTGCTGAGCGCTTGTCGCCCCCGCGACGGGCTGGAAGCAGCTGCGGTGCTGCGAGCGGCGGGGGCAGGGCCGGCCTGGAGCCTGGGGGGCGCTGGAGGCGGCAGGACCCTCGCCTCGGCGGCGGGCGCGTCGCCTGTTCAGGCCGCCTCTGTGCCCGGGACCCGCGCTGCGCGCCGCGCCGCCGGCCCCGGCTTCAGGAACGTCTCGGTGGTGCCGCACCACTTCATGATGGCTCTGTACCGCAGCTTGTCCGGGAGGCCGCCGGCCGGGGCAGCCGCTGCCTCCGACCACGGCCGCGCGGACACCATCACCGGCTTCGCAGACCAGTCAACCCAAGGTACTTGCGCCTCTTCTGCACCCGCCCATCCCGTCCGACCCTGAAATCACCCCTGGAGCTGTGCTCCCGCTCGATTGGTCCCGCAAGTCCCAGCCTCAGAAACTTCGCGGGCCCCCGAGGTCAGCGCGCCCAAACTCGCTGCTCCTGAACTGTAGCGAGGGGCGCGGTCGTTAGCTATGGCCCAGGGGTACTGCTCTTGCTGACTGGCAGGTCCGCTGGAAGAGCGAAGACTGAGGCCAAGATCTGCTCCTGGGGTTAGGGTCTGGAGTGGCTTCTGGCCTTTGGAGAGGAAAGACGGCTGGAATGGGGTTATTTTCCAGTGATGGAGGTGGTAGCGGCTTCCTTGCAGCAATATCTGCAGTTCCCAGTCTCCCTAGGGATGCACGAATTTGGGGGGCCACAGTGGGAATCCAGATGGAGACAGGTATCAGACCAAATGGCCCTGCAGAGGATGGTGGCCATCCCTTCTCAACAGGCTCAGTCTGGGTGTGGGGTGCGGGTCCTGTGAGAGCCCACTCTGGTGGCGGAAGGGGAGCCCGGCCTGGTGTCTGTGCAGGAATGCAGGCCTCCCATTCAGGCATCCCACCTTAACAGGCACTGGGTTCTCCTGAGGTAGGATGTGGGTGAGGCTGTGTGGTGGTTGCTGTGTGTCATCTGGATTTTATTAATCTCCACTGAAGCCATTAAAGCAGACAGATAGGAACATTTTAACTAATTTCAGGCGGAAATGCACGTAATTTTGATTTTAATTCTGTCCAGCTAGAGACCTAGCATAGAAAGCAAGAGGAAAAAAAAGATGAATAGGGCTGCTGGCCTGAGGCTGGGAGCCACCGACATTCTGCACGCCTTGGCTTCCAGATGACACCACAGTGGCCATGTTACTCCCCCTGCAACAAGACCTAGGCACAAATTGCTTCATTTGGAGTACATGGAATCCCAGGGCTCAGAGTCTGTCTAGCTCTGTTAAAACCATAGAACACACTCTGTGGGCCTGCCATGGCCCCTGAACAGGATGCTGGGAGGTACATAGGGACCCCCAGTCCTCCTGCACCTGGCAGGGAGGGTTTCAGACCTCTGACTACTCAGGCTCCCTGCAGCAAGAAAGGGCTCTGTACAAAGGCACCAGGCTTTCTTAGGTCCCACCAGGCTGCCACTATTCCAGACAGGCCACCTTTCATTATCCCCTCTAGGAGAAGTGTAGTGGCTGGACCCTGCCCTGTGAAGCCACAGAGGTAACGGCTTGAGAGAACAAGCAAGGCTGAGCAGGGTTTGCCTGCCTGCCTCTCTATCCAGAGCCTATCTTGCTGCAGTCCCTGGAGACCACTACCAACACTCAGACTGTGGACCTCAGGTCTCATGGCTGGTGAGGAGTCCCCAGTGGTTGTGGGGTGTCTGTACAGTCTCTCTGAGGTTGGGGCAAAACAAAACCATATGACCCTTTCAAAGGGAGGTCCTTATCTATGGCCTTGTGGAATTTACACTTTTTTACCCCTAAACTCCAAAAGAAAAAAGTGCCCAAGACCAGAAATAAAACCCCAAACCTGAGATACTTCACAATAGAGCAAAAGCGTAAGCTTGCTAAGGAGCAGCTCTCCTGAAAGGAGCCTCCAGGCTGGCACAGCACCCCTGCAAGACCATTCAAAGCTCCAAATTTTCTTAGCTACTTTCCCCCTCTTTCCGAGGCCATGGTGGGAGCACCAGGAGGAGCCATTCCGGAGGTTCCCAGTGGCGGCCAGTAGCATGCATTTCTGAGACGTTGGGCCTCAGGTCCAAGTGAGGTTACACTCACCGAGCTGCTTCATTCCCCTTCTGGATGACTTGTGCCCAGCGTTCAGGGGATACTGCGATCTGGTCAATGGTGATGTCCAGGCTCTGTGTGTGTGTGTGTGTGTGTGTGTGTGTGTGTGTGTGTGTGTGTAGAAATTTCCAGGGGATGCAAACATCCTGCTTCTGCAAGACAGGAATGGGGAACCATGGCTCCCAGGGCACCGCAGGGCAGTACAGTGCAGGTCTCAAGAGCGAAGGAGCTCAGGAAGAATGCGTCCACCTTGCCTTCTGATCCCCGGCCTGGGAATCTGGCTGGAGCCTTTCCTAGTGGCTCTGGACAGGCAGAACCATAGTGGTCTTCCTCTTGGTTCTGATGCACTCGGGGTTCCGCAGCTCAGTGATGACAAAGGTCGGACGTTGTGTCAGTGGCTTCGTAAATTAAATCCCTGGCTGGACCAAGGCCCGCTTTACTCCTGGCCTGGCTAGCAGCATTGCCACTGGGACTCAGATGCGGCAGACTCAGGCTCGTTTGTCCCTGATCTTGCGTTGAGGACAGCGGGCTAGGTGCAGGTGGGGGACCCCGCGGCGGGAGTGCGGGTTTTACGCTCACTCAACTTTTTTTTTTCCTTCTGTTTCTGCGGTCCTCTACAGACCAATTGGCGGCTGAGACTGGCCAAAGCTTCTTGTTTGACGTGTCCAGTCTTCCCGACACCGACGAGGTGGTGGGCGCCGAGCTGCGTGTGTTGCGCCGCGAGCCGGCCAAGCTGGAGCAGGGCAGCCAGACCACCCTGCCCCTGCTGTTGCTGTCCACGTGTCCGGGGACCACGCACACTCCGCGCCTGCTGCACTCCAGGACTGTGGAGGCCCTAGACAGCGCTCGCTGGGAGGTGTTTGATGTGGCAGACGCTGTGCGGAGCCACCGCGGGAACACGCGCGCCGCCCGCGCCTTCTGCCTCCTTCTGCGCGCTGTGGACCGCCCTGCGCGGAGCCCGCTGGACCCGCGGCTGCTGGGCTTCGGTTGGCGGGGCGGTGGCGGCGCGGCGGCGGAGGAGCGCGCGCTGCTGGTCGTCTCCTCCCGCACACAGAGGAAGGAGAGCCTGTTTCGAGAGATCCGCGCTCAGGCCCGCGCGCGCGGGGCCGCTCTGCCGGTGGATCCACCGTCCGAGCCCGGGCCCGGTGCTGGGTCCCAGAAGGTTGTTCTGGGCGGCCGCAGGCAACGACGGACTGCGCTGGCCGGGACGCGCGCGGCTCACGGCAGTGGCGGGGGCGCGGGCCGAGGCCACGGGCGCAGGGGCCGGAGCCGCTGTAGCCGCAAGCCGCTGCACGTGGACTTCAAGGAACTGGGCTGGGACGACTGGATCATCGCGCCGCTGGACTACGAGGCCTACCACTGCGAGGGCGTCTGCGACTTCCCGCTGCGCTCGCACCTCGAACCCACCAACCACGCCATCATCCAGACGCTGCTTAACTCCATGGCGCCCGACGCGGCGCCTGCCTCCTGCTGCGTGCCCGCGCGCCTCAGCCCCATCAGCATCCTCTACATCGACTCGGCCAACAACGTGGTCTACAAGCAGTACGAGGACATGGTGGTGGAGGCGTGCGGCTGCAGGTAGCGCGCGGGGGCTGGGCTGTCGCGGCACTGGCTCGAGCCTGGGTGTGCGTCCGTCTCAGGGCCGTGTCCGCACCCGCACGGAGGAGAGCACACGGTCACACTCACAGCCGCACGCTCGTCACTACGCACACACTGACCGAGAAGAACAGCCTCAGAAAGCCCTGGGAAGAGGGAGTCTGCCGCTATCAGGGGCCACAGCCCTGTGCATTTTGTGAACAGATCCCGTGGCACCCGCTGCCTCTCTGGGGAGGGAGTGTGTTTGGAGTGTTGGTAACTGGCACTAAATTGGTTAGAAACGGGTTAGGACTGGGGCTCCAGAACGGGTGACCCGTGGGATACGGAGTACGTTTTCTCGCGGCCCGTTTTTTGGAGGGTGGGGGCATGGCCCCTCTGGTGGCTCAGCTCCGGGGTTGGGGGATAGTGTCCAGTCTGGGATCACGGGAGGGATGGAAGGCTTCCGGTCTTTGTGGCGTCCCAGCAGCGGTCACTTAGGGAAGGAATCAGGGCGAACGAATAGCCGCTTTCTCTCACGACTTTTAACATTATAATGTGGTGATGCTTTCCTTTTTAAAGGGAAGTTTTGCCTGAAAGAATGCGTTGCGGAGCTTCCCAGATCTCGGCAAAGGTCAGCAGCGGTCTTTCATCGATTCTACCTGGGAATGGTCTAGAAAGTGAGAAGATCAGCACATGAGGGTGAAGTGATCTCGCACCGCGGGTTCCGAGCGGACAGGACACGCGGGGAGTGGGGTGGGGTGCGGTGGGAGCTGTCAGACTCGGCAGCTCTCCAGCTAGCGAGCAAGGCTGGAGCAGGGTCTGGGGTCGCAGGGCATTAGTGCCAGGACTGGTGCAGCAAGGGCTCAGCTGTGCGCTTCTAAGGACCTGCCAACTCGGTTTCCTAAGCCGCTGGCGAAGGGCTCCAGTGACTCGCAGCCTCACCGCGTGGCACAGCCTGAGTGGCCGCATGTGCTTGCGCTTAGCTATCATGTCTGTGGCGGCTTTGACATGCTTTCACTGTTGTTGCTGTGGTTTTTTGGCAGTGTGATAGTAACGGGAAGTGAAGCCGCACAAAAGTGCTTTTGTCAGACCTCAGCTCTCTTTCCAGATCTTTGAGCAGGAGGAAGGCCTGCCCCGGGCTCCCGGCTCAGGAGCTTGGCTGCGGTGGCCAGTTCGGAAGGGCAAGGCCTTGGTGTGGGCGGAACGGGGGCACAGGCCTGTTTCTGGGTCCCAGAAGTAGTCCCCAAGGTCTTACTAATGGCAGGGTCTTCTGTTGACCTGAAAGCGAGCTCGGACTGGCTGGCTTTGCTTATTTGATTGTTTACGTTAGGGAGACTTTTGTGGGTTTTTGTCAAGGGTTGGGACAGAAAAAAACGAGATTACACCTGTTCGCCTAGTGGCCTTTTTGCAAAACTGCAGCACTCCTGCGTGCTATTTAATGCTGGGCTCCAAGCTTTCCTTAGGGTCCCAGAGAGGCCTTAATTCTATCCTTGTCATGGATGCTAAGGTCCAGGAGAGTTCATCGTTCTCAGCGGTTACGTTTTACATCCTTGAGAGACAGGACATTTATTTAAGGTCCTACTGGAGTCATTTTCTGCAAAAATTCCCCCAAAGAAGGAACACATTCACACACACTGTAACTTATTTTTTAAATTTAAATTAAACTTTTCACTGGATGTGGTGGCACATGTCTGTAGTTCCAGCACGTAAGAGGCTGAGGCAGGACTATCTCCATCAGTTCAAGGCCAGCCTGAGCTACATAATGAGACCACACACACACACACACACACACACACACAGAGAGAGAGAGAGAGAGAGAGAGAGAGAGAGAGAGAGAATTAAGCTTTTTGTCTTCTTCTAATGTGAATCTGTTATGCTGTGGCTGTGTGAGTAGCTGAAAGTAACCAGGAAATGCAACTGTTTCTCCAGGTTATAAGATCCCAAACTGGCTGTTTTGGTATAATTCTGTCTTATTTTTGTAACTGGGCAAAGCTGGAGCCCAGATTTATGGACTCTGGCAGGGAAGTGTCCTTCTTCTGTTTTAAACAGTAATTTTCATGACCACCATGTAATGAATGCTTTGATACTTGTCGTAGTGAAGGTAGAAAAATGGTGTTGCAGCGTTAAACAGCTGTCAGAGTAGAAGGTTTAGAAAAGAAGTTAATGGAACATCACAGTTAAATATTTGGAGGAAATTTTAGGGTTTTTTTTTTTTTTGGACAAAAGCAAACATTTTGATACTTCTAGCGACTGGAAGAAATAACTTTTGGGTAAGAAATATCTTGATTTAAGGTCAGGAATGGTGTGCATGTCCCTTTCTGTTTCTGGTGCTGGCTTCTCTCCAAGCTGTGCTGTGAGCAGTACACGTGGCTCTGTCTTCCCAGGCTGCACCTGAGGAACCATGCTGACCTCGGTGGTTCTCCTGCCCCGCCTCACGGTGCTCTCTGTTCTCTGTGGGTTTCCCTAGGGTGCTGTGGACCCCAGGGGCTGCATCTCCCTCCCACAGCACCCAGCTCCTGGGCAGCTGATTCTCCAGAAGGTAGGTTCCTCCTGGTAAAGGTGACAGCAAAAGGGCCACCATGTGTGGGACAGACAGGGTTCTGCTTCCCGGATGGGGTTAAACTAGCTTTGCCAGGGCAAGGAGAAAAGGGGTCCTGCGCACAGCTGAGAGCACTCTGGAGCACCCACAATCTGACTGGTGGTTCAGAGCAGAGCCCAGATGCTGTCCAGGAATCCCCAGCCCATCCTCACAAGGAGCAAGGACCAGGTGTGTCAGGACCAGGCATGTTATCCACCTTCCACGCCAACCAGACAATCAAATTATCTGTTAAAGCAAAGAGAATTTTCCACTTTGTTGGGGAGAATTGTTTGCTGCTATTGAGATCATTTGGACCACGATTTCCTGTGAGGGAGAAGTAGGGTCTCACACCCCTGATCAGGGAGGTAGACAGGCCAGCAGGGCCTCGGGGGTAGCTGTGGGGCTGCGACACACCAGCCAAGCCCTGGTACTTGATCCTTCTTCAGTGCCTGAAATTTTGGTATCAGAGAGACTCCTGCACTGTCAAGTGAGCATTTCCATGCTTCCCAAAAGCTGGCCTAGAGGAATTCTGTCTTTTCTAGCAGTGGGGTGGGGTCTGGGAGAGGTGGCAGGCCTTGCCATCTTGGTTTGGGGAAGGCCAGCTAGGTATGTGCTTCTTTGTGTGCCTAAGTGGTACTGGGACAGTAGCGGTGTGGGTGATGTGGTACACAGCCAGACTCCTCAGAACCCTGGTGCAGACAGATCTCTTCTCTTGGCAGTGCTCAAAGTGATGGTGGTAGTGGTGGTGGTGGTGGTCGTGGTGGTGGTGGTGGTAGTGGTAGGGGGCGAAGTGTGCTGTGTCTTGGAGTGAGCTCTGGGAGTCCAGCAGATGGAACAGGAGAGTGATCTAGATCTTCCAGTCCTTATCCCATTAGCAATCTCACTCTGCTTACAGCAGAAAGTAACTGCGTCTGTGGACTGACTGTTTTTCCTTAAAGCACGAGGCAAAAGCAGATTCTTTCCAAGAGCAGCTTGTGCACAGACAAAGCCCAGCTCTTCCGTTGCCTGAGTCTGGTCTCCAGACAATGCAGTGAAAGGAAGAGAAGGCGAGCAGCTGTCTTGGGGCCTTGCTGGTCCTCCAGAGAGTGCATCCTCTTGAGCCCCGGCCTCCCTGGCCAGGAAGCAGGACCTCTCAGAGACCTCAGCAGGTGGGCTGGGAGGACAGGCTCTGAAGGAGGCTCCCTCCCTGTTGGAGGGAGCAGAGTCAGCCCTTCAGGAAGTGTCTGGTTTGGAAGGGAAGAGAAGATGCAGACAAGCAAACTGGCAGTCATGAAACTTTGAGATTGGAAGTCACCCAGATCCCTGTGGGGCTGTTATGTCTAAGTGGCACTACAGTTAGGGTTGACGGTGACTTCTGCATGCTGAGGAGCAAAGTTCCTGTGCAGCATGGCCTCATCTTCCTGGAGGGAGCCAGTTGGCGCCAGTGCTCTTGAGAGGTTGGGCCCTGCTGTGGATAGTCATCTCCTTGCCTGGGCTTCAGCTTCAGCCTCTTAAAATGGGGGGCTTCTCCAGCCCCAAGGATTCTGCTGCCTCTAAAGCTCATTCAGATGGTTCCAAGGCAGAGCAGGTGTGGCTGCTCCTGGAAAAGATTCCCCCACAGCCCCGGCCACAGAGGCACATCTCAGTTCCACAGCTCTCACTGTTGTGTGCATGTGTGTGCACATGCATGTGAGCATGCGTAGAGAGGCACAAGAAGGCCACCCCAGGGTAGGACCCGATGCTGTCTGTGCCCCTTGGTTGAGGGTCATTCCTCACCCTGTGCATCTGAGCTCATGCAGTGTGTGTATCTTCTTTCAGGCTGAGATTGTTTGGAGACCACTGCTGGGCAAAGGCCCTCACCTGCTGCGGGTGCCTCTGTCCAGCAGCAGAGGAAGAGGGGACCACTGCTCTCTCTGGTCCCCACCACTCCTGACCCAGTGCCACTCTGTGTAGAGGTCCCACTCCAGTTGCCAGGGCAATGACCTGGGCAGACATTAGAAGACCATCTCCTCTTTCTTTTGTAACTTGGATAATGATGGAGCTTAACACTGAGAAGCACCGGAAGGGAGGAATCAGATAGAGGTATACTTTGCATTTTTCAGACAGCTTGGCCTTTTGTCCCTGGCACCTTCTGACTATTTACGCTGGAGTCAAGTTTTCTCCCTCCCCTTGTTGCTGTTCTGGTCTGTAGTCTGTGTCCAGGCTGGGAACTGCATACTCAGGTCACCCAGAGTGAGAGGGCCCCCACCTGAGGAGTCCTTTGCATGCATGTGGGCTGCAGGGCAGGGCACAACCAGTTGAACTAGAGCTCAGCCGCCTCCCACCCTGCACCATGTGCTGTGCCTGCACTTGGCCCTGACAGCACCAGCCTGGTGCTTTATGGCAGTGGCAGCAGTCACAGCTGTGCAAGCTGTGACCTACAGTGGACCAGGGTGAGGCCTGAGTTTCAAGGCTTGCTCACTGTCGTTGATTCGGTTCACTCCAGAGCAGCACACCTACCTGGTGGTGGCCCATTTCTCCTGCTCACAGAGAATGTACAGGCCTCCTCCAGTGTCTGTCCAACAGACATGTGACTGGTGTTGCTCATATGCACTCTTTCACAGCAAGAGGGCATCAGCGTCGCAGAGGTATCCCAGGAAGCATGTTTCTGCACAGGCAGGGGAGTCTGCAGGCTCGGTGGAAGGCATAAGAAGCACATGGCACCCTCGACAGGTGGACTTCCTTCTGCTGCATTTGGAACTCTATATTGGAGGGGGCCCTTGAGAGAAGCTGTAGTGTAGAGGGGCTGCTGAGGTAGTTGTCTAGAAGAGCAAGAGAAAGCTGGTCTGACAAGGCACCTGTAAGTAGGGTGGGACCCAGCTCAGGAGGAAGCTGGCTTTTGCTTTTGAGTTTCTGCTTTCCCCCCTTTTGCGTTGTTGCATGGTGCAGTGGCAGCCTGTGATGTGGCCAGGCAAGATGTGGCCAATTCCTGTGTGCAGGGACAGGACAAGGTGTCTTGTTTCCAGACCACTCAGAAACTTGGCCAGCAAAATGATGAGCCAGGGCTGACCCCCCTGCCCCAGAAGGTAAGGTGCGCCTGTGGCAGGTCAGTGAGAGACTCCTGCTAAGGCTTGTTCATGAAAGTCCTGCTGAATTAGATGTAAACACAAGCTGATCAGAAAGCACACAGGTCAAGTGCCCTGGAGGACGCTCCTGCTGTAGCCTGGGAGCTGGAGACTGCGCACAGCATGCAGGTTGTTGCTGCCTGACAGTCTGTACAGGCTCTTGAGGAGTCCGAGCCACCCCTGGGGAAATGGGCAGCTCCCACCTGGCTCCTCTGTGGAGTGAGGCTGGAAAGCAGTGAGTGACAAGGTGCACTGGGAGCTGCTCCTCACATCATTTTTTCATCTCACAGGAGCTGAAGGCTGCTGAGACCAGAAAATGCTGTCCTAAGGGCTGGAGGTGAGCAGCCCAGCTTGAGAAAGGGGGCTCGTAGGCATTGCTTATCTCTCTGCAGCTTATGGTTTGCATCAGGGCTTGTCAGAATCAGAGAAAGTCAACCAGTAAGAGTTCTGTTTAGACAATGATGACCCAGTTCAACGAGAAAGCAAGCTCAGGGTGAAGCATGTTTCCTGGCTAGGAAATAGGCAAGTGCCTAAGCCAGGATCAGAGACTCTCGAGAGAGGAGTTTCTCTGGTGTTCTCCACCTCAGATAAAGCACAGGCTAAACACAAGCACCGTCTGAGTAACTTTTATTTTTCTACTTCACATTATATTGTAGTGCAAACATCTTTTGTGTTTTGACAAGAATTATAACTGAGCCACTTTAGGTTTTTTAGCAGCAAGTTTTTCACCCCAAAAGTTTTGCAAGGATTCACATGATGTCAGCAGCTGCCCTTTCTGAAGATAACAATGGGGGGTTCTGCTCTATTGGGAAATGTTTGTGAACAGAGAAGCAGCTCCCCTCACTGTGAAGTTTGCTGATGGACTCCTATGCCTGCTTGCGGAGCAATGCTGCTTAAGCAAGTCCTGGGTGGACAGCAGAATCCTGCGTGTGCTGAGAGGCCTGCAGCTCAACAAGTGAATGTAATGATTTCAA